CGTGCAAGTATAATATTATAAAAAATTGTAGATAAATTGAAGATTAACAATTTGCAAATAATTTTTCCTATTCAAATGAGAGCAATTGATTTAATTTAAATTAATTTCTGCATTCTTTTCGTCTTGTTTTATAATCGCATTCCCTATAGAGAACATAATTACTTATAATCTTTCCGCAAGAAAACCGGTACATTTACAAACGATTATTTTAAAGAATAAAACACAGTTTCTGATTGAAAAATACGTTCAATGAAAATGGAAATCGCATGAATAGTGTTATCGTTTTAATTCGACGAATGATAGATAACAAAGATTGCTTTTTGTGTTCTTAGCTTCAAGCTCTGATACTGAATAATGAGATTCATAATTATTTCTGGAATCAGACGTTATTTCTTCTCTAATCAATCACAAGTACATCATTTTATAGCGTTTGTAGCTTTTTTGCAAATTTTTTTTATTAGTATTTTTCATTAAAATATTACACAATTTTATCTATTACAATAAAAGAGTTAAAAATCAAAATATTTTATCGCTATAAGGAATTCTATTAATTAATTAATCTATTAATTAATTAATTATTAATCTTAGTAGAATAGAATAGAAATGTGTCTTTTTTTGTTTTTAGATTAAGATAAGTTTTTAAGTAGATTAAGAAGTTTAAGATATTTAGCTAGATATTTTTAACAACATACTATTTTGATTCGGTCGGCATTTTCTTAACTTTTAGTATATTTTGAAGGAAACAGTTGCAATGAAGATTCTGCGTCATTGTTTATTCTGAAAAACGATGTATGCCAGAGCTGTTTGTTACACAAATGGAAAATAGATTCCTTAGTCATATTCCTCTATCAAAAACAATTTTAGCGGATCAAAAGTAATACTCTTCAATTCTTTTAACCCTTTGAATTCAAGTGGTTATTCCGAGGTACCACTAAAAATTATTTTATCACGTCCCAAAATAATTTTGACATCATCGAACTTCTTTTCATTTAATAAAACTGTTAAAAGACCAAGCATTGTACGTGCCAATGGGCTGAATTTCATACGCGTAAATTGCAATGAATCATGTAAACTGGAAATTCCGTAGGTCAGGAAACATATGTTTCGGATTTGGAATTAAAACAGTTTCGATTGTAAAAATTCGCCAAACGTAAGAATGTTGAAAATGTAATCAGTGTCGCACCGGTTGACTTTCCAACTTCAATTCGATTGAATCAAATATTTTAACTCCAAAATAGTTTCTCTGACATTTTTCCATTTTACATAACTTACGATTAGTGCATATTACGCATATGGAATTTAACCTCGCAACTCATGCAAGAGCTATACTTTTCACCATTTTTTTAAAGATATAAACAAATTATTTTAGTACGTGGCATAAGCATTTTTACTGGTGCCTCATAATCACCACGTAAGCATAACGAGTTAATTTTATTTTATTTTGAAATGTGTTGGCCATCGCCACCTCAAAATTAAATAAAATTAACTCTTTATGCTTGTGTGATGACTATGCGACATCGCTAAAAATAGTTATGTAACGTTGCAAAATAATTTGTTAATATTTTAATTGCAGTATATTTTAATTGCGGTATATTTTAATTGCAGCTACTCGTCTTCGTTATAAATCCATAAAATCCGCAGTCCAATTAGTAAACGCAATAATATCATTAAAAGGGATAAAATTGCACAGTTAACGATTGTTCTCTGTTTTCCGACATTGTTTCCAGAGCCATGAAGCTAGCGATATTATTGGCAGTGGTGTGCTGCCTGGCGATCGGATCACTCGCAACACCAGTGCCGAAGATCTCCGAAGAGAAATCATCGAACCTGAACGTCGTCGCGACAGGAAGACAGGCGGCAGTCCAACCGCCTGTGGTTAGTGAAGATGACGATGACGACGACGACGACGACGACGACGACGTTGACTTCGATATCACCGGTGACGACGATGATGACGATGACGACGATGATGATGATGACGATGACGATGACGACGATGATTCCGATTATTTGGAACGGTTCATCGAGGACATACTAGGTAATGTACTGTTTGTCTACATTTTTCAATTGCTTCGTTCTCTGCGGTCTGCGGTTAGCAGATCTTTGCGCACTTGTGGCATGTGCAGATTTTTAAATGCAAGAGGTCGTACAAATTAGCCCTAAACCTACCGAGTCGGTCAAAATGACTGGTTGCACATTCTTTATTTTAAAACTTTGCACCCAAAGCCATTTGAATGCTAAATTCAAAGTACAGTAGTTCCTCCCTAATTCGCGCTCATATTGCGCACAAAAATGGACAATTTGGGAAGAGAAGATACGATTATTTGAGCCTTGCGGCTCGTTTTTATAGTTATCGATTGTCAGCAACTATAAAAACGAGACGCAAGGCTCGTAAATGAATAATCGTCCATCCATGAATAATCTTCCTAAATTGTCCATTTTTTGTGCGCAATCTGAGCGCGAATTCGGGAGAAATTAATGTAGTTTCTCTGATATACAATTATTTTTATTTTATATGAAAGTGTGTGAAATTTAGTCTCGTGATTCATAGAACCGAATTTAATAATGCAAAAATTATTTTGAATCCTGAACAGTGTTTTAATGGTGCTTCAGTGGCATCACTCGAGTGCAAAGGATTTACGATAAAAGAATGCGTAGACGACAATGATACGTTTGAAACAGTTTGTTACAAATTTCTATCGAAAAAGAGGACAATAATCACACTTTTGAATCCTCAAGTGAAACTAGTGATGAAAAATAGGTTAATCAATTATTGAATTCGGAAATTCAGGAAAAGGAAGAAGTATTGATAGTTTAAGGAAAGCTATTGCACGAACATTCAGTGTCACGAACAACTTTAATTGGTATAAATATGCAAATCCCCATTTCCATAGGTTATTTTCTAGAAATCCAAATTATCAAAATGAAAGTATTTCTAGTTTTTTCTAGTTTCTTGCATTTTAAAAATCTGCACATGCCATAAATGCATGAAGAATCGCGATGTAGTTATTATTATACATAGTTTCAGAGAAATGTGTACTAATATTTACCCTTTAAATAGTACTTGTCAGACAAATTCTTTTTTTATCCATTCATTTGACATTTGAAGCAATTTTCTACGTTACAGTTTGTTTTTATACAAATGTTTACGTACGTAAACAAATTAATATGGTTCATCTTATATAAATAAACGCTATCAAAAACGCTATAAAACGCTAAAAAAAAGCGCTATCGTCTTATACGTCCATAACTATTATGCTATTATTGAGAAAGCTATAATTCTATTTGAACAAAATAAGTAGGAAACACGGAACAAATAGCTTTTACTTAAGTCCTAGATTCGGAGAAAACTCAATCGATTTGTCGTGCTCACCTACATTTGGCTGGCCATCAACAAATCTGAAAGGAAACTGTTATATCAACTGTTTTCAAGCCACATTGATTAGCTCTGTTTTTAACACTGTTTTTCATTTTTTGTGCCACACCATTTGATTGACTCTTAACTTTTTGTATTTAAAACAAATTTTTCTATTATTAGGCTGTTATTATTAGGCTTCTGGTATTAGGTACGAAGAAACTTCGTTGGGTTGTTTCTTATTTATTATATGTATATTTTGTTCTCAATTATATATTACACAATTTATTATATATGTATATTATAACGCATGCAGCTAGGTTAAACCTACGTCCGTAATAGTACATTCCATAATGTTTATTTGAATTTAAATTTCAATGGGATTTAAAAAAAAACAATTATACCATTTCCATCACCTTACTCTAATTCTTTTTTTATACGGGGTCTCACCTACAATTTATATTCAATACATTCGACTCATGTTTTCACGAAGAATCGCCACCTTTCACTCCGTGTCACTCAGTATCATGGTTTCCGGAACACTTTGCATAAACGACGAGATATTGTTCAGTACATTTCATTTCCCCATGGTATCGCGCAGTAGTTTCCTGCACTCTCGTATTCGTACCCGAGATTTCTGTAATTCAACTCTAGATTTATGGAGCACAAAAAACACCGGTTTTACATTAGTTTATAAAAATAACAATAAGACATTTATTCTGATTTTGAACAAGAGTTATTGTAACATTTGCCATAAGTAACATATAAATTGTGAATAAATATCGAATAAAATAAATATAAATAAATTGAATACATATAAATATATCTTTACGATATGGATAATCGTAAATTAAAAAATTAGTGACCCGTCATTTTGCCGGGTTCCGTAAATCTAGCGTTAACTCTAAACGTAACACTGTCGGTCGAACAGCCGGTTACACATATTTCATTTTATAATTATTAAGATCATCAAGTGAGAAATCATATTCTTATCAAAATTGCGGAGAATTTAAACAAATTAAATCTTATAATTTTTTGACCTCGATGCGTTTAGCGTCAACGGGGCAACGCGTAAAACCATAATCGCAGAAAGCCAACCGTAGGCCGGACAGCTTTTGCTTTCGTCGTTATAGTCAACGATGCGGCTAACGTTTCATCGTGTCGAACAATGGCAGAAATCGCAAACCGAGCGTCGCCGTTACGCAAACATTCGGGGCTCGAGTTAGCGTTCGAACAAGTCCAAACGGAAAGCTCTCGACGCGTTTCACGTGCCGGTGCCGGTAACGGTACAAGCTGCTTCAAACTCGCCCGAATTAACATAAATCGACGGCGATCCCAGCTTCGAAAGAATTTCTACGCGCTACTTTTTTTCACATTGACCCAGATTACCGAGGACTCACGTGTGTGTTACACGCACGCTTGTATAACTACGAGCGTTCCTTCATTAGCGTGCACACTGGAATTCGCGGAAACGATCGCACGAATGTTTTACAATCTCTTTCAGGGACCAAAGTTACTTGAAAAATTGTTATGAGAAGGAATGAGATCTAGAAAACTAGATCAAGGGGTGTAGCTATTAATTGCGAAATATAAAAGGTATTGTTCAAAAGCACACGATTTTTAAATTTTTATTTTTGGTTATCAACGTGTATATGTATCTATAAAATACAAATAATAAAATTTTCTAAATCAATTGTCAAATACAGAAGGTGAATGAAAATATGTTTCTTCGTTCGATTATTTTATAAATTAAGAAATATTATATATAATATAGTGGTATTCTTAAATTCTTGTATTATCTTTACAGTTCTGTGTATTACATATACTAATTTTCCTGATAAATGCATAAAATCCACAGTCTAATTATTTTACATTGAGGCAGTGAATTTTAGATGAAATAAAAGGTTAACGAATAGCGTGATGCAAATTCGTACCAGTTGTTCCGCTAAAAGCGGTATTTTCTATTCTAATGATAAATCATCCAAGCATATTTTTCTCTTGCAATCTTGATTGAAATAATTTACACATGCGTAATTTATATGTTTTTTAATCTAATTTAATTCTTAGCAACAATGTTACATCTTGTTCGTAATCAAGGGCGTTATGCATCGCAATTTTCAACTTTCACTTCACATAACAGAGTAAACTCAATTATTTTTTAAACTGTGAATTCGTCATTAATTTAAAATTCGAGATTGTGAGTGTGTGTGTGTGTGTGTGTGTGTGTGTGTGTGTGTGTGTGTGTGTGTGTGTGTGTGTGTGTGGTATTTGCTGATTACGAATTATATAAATTTTGTATACACGTATAAAAAATTCGTGTGGTAATGGGTTAAATTTAGTTTGTACAGAGGCATATTGTACATCTATAGTTTACGTACGTTATTTTTACGAAGATGAAATAATTATATACAGTATAATTTTTAGCTTTAGTCGTTCTTAAGTTGCAATAAGATGTTCTATGTCTTCGATTTTTAACATAATTTGGTGTTGTATCACTTTACACCGAAGTGATTTATTGTACTCGTCTATTTTGATGAGATAATTAATTGTTTTATGAAAATCAAAATTAATAACTTCTTTCACACAAATTGGTATATCCCCATCAAAGTGTTAAAATTTCTAAGAGCAGCTCAATCAGTCAATTAAGTTTTCTGCAATACTAGTATATGTACTTGGAGAAAATATTTTGTATTCCTATTTATTTAAATCCTTATTTATACTAAATGTTCCTGCTAATTAAATAGCTTATATATGATAAGCAACTACACACAATGTAAATTATGCACAAAAGACACAGATTTGGACATAGATTAAAAATTTTACACGTATTAGTAATAGTTGTACTAAATTTTAAATAATATCAAAGACTTAGAAAGCTTCGAATTCATCAAAAAAGTAGAAAATGTCCAGTCAATGTAGATTTTAAAACTAACTTTTACAATGAAAATTCTAGAACTATATTTTTATTTAGCAATTGTGACTTATATTCGATTCGTATAATTTATATTATACGATTTTATGTGATCTGCATGAATTAAAAGTCTTTTGATTTCGCTCATCGCATGACAATAAAGTCTAGGTTAGTTAGAATAGCAACATAACGAGCAGATTCAGGTCGCGAAGAAACAGACTATGCAGTATTCAGCTAGTTTGGAGAACAAAGCAAGTGGAACAAATGCGACATCACAAAGAGAGACAGTTGACTAATCGACTCGTGGCATTAAATTTTTGCATTATTATTATCATCACTAACACTGTTTCTCATATATTTCAAATGGAAACTCTTATTTGAAGTAAACTTTAATCAGTACAGTCGCCTGAATTCTTAGCTACACCGCGATTTAAATCCGACCAAGACTAGGCAGCGGACTTTTATGCAAAATAAAAATTGAAGTTGTGTTTATTGGTACAAAATAGGAATATAGGCTGAATTATAAATTATGAAAAGCGCTTATAGACCATAGAGCCTGATTCCAATATTTGTGTTAAGTGACAGCGATTATCATTAAACTATAGATTTTACATATGTATTGCAAATATAATAAATCAATATCATACGACACATTTAAAGACTTTCAACAAACTGATCAATTATTTTCAGCTTACTGAAATTATTAAGTAGTGTAAAATTTTTATACTCGAATAATGCGTAAATTTTCCCGAGAACGTGAAAGTACGAGCGAAACATGATTATTTTCACTTATACTTCACAGTTTAAAAAAGTCATATGATACAACATAAATATAAAATATATATGTATAATACAGCACGTTTGCTGCACAATGCAATGAAAAGTTGCAAATCAAGATGCTAATTAGTAATTAGTAATTACAAATAATCATGTGTTCGTCAGAAGAATCTGAAGTTAATACTTTAGTAATTGTTGCGCCTGTTTCACTTTGTCTCGATTGCTCTACGCCTCTTGACTCCCGTCACGCGTCTGGCTCGCCCGTGGTCGCATAAATAATACACACACACACACACACACACACACACACAAAGCACAGGAACACGTGTCTGATGTGTTCCTAGTCGAAAATGGCGAGCACGGGAGAGCGACACGTGACGGGAGTCAGGAGATGTTATTTGTTTTTATTCGGCCGAACTCGAGTCCCTCGTTTCGTCGAAATTCAGTGTTGCGGCTAATTTGGGGCTAATAAAAAGACATCATTTCTGCCAATAAGAGACACGCGTTTATCCTAATTCTATGAGGGCGTTAATATGAGTTGGTTAGTGGGTATGAGTCCTACATTTCTCTCAGCGGACTTCTTCTGAGCAACAATTAATGCTTGTAAATAGACAACAACTAATCCTTTACAAAAAGATGAACAAACTTTAAAACTTTTTAAATATGGGTGACACTAATTTTTAACCAATTTCGAAAATTCATTTTCATTGTAATATATTCGAACAAACTGAATTTGACTGGGATGTTTCGGATGCATGCGAAAGAGTTATAATGTCATCCATTATGATAAATTTTATTTAAATTGATCTTTAATTATCTTTTGATACTTCAATTAATTTAATTGCATTGACTTTGTGGGAATTTTAGTTTTATTTATTGTCGGCACTGAACGCATTAAAGTCGATTTTCTCGAAAACGGTGCCCCACATAAAAAAATGTTACACCAAATTTTTTTCTTATCTTTTCACGTTGAACCATACACTGCTCGATTGTACTACGAATTCTGGTCCACTCTGTATACAAGCCATTCAAGCTAAACGAAGGCTTGAATGGGCTTGTTGACTTGAATAGCCAGCACTAACTCACACAATGATCCACAACGGATCGATCACTTGCGACAAAGACTGAATGACTCTCTATGCTCCGAGCTCAAGCGTAGAATGTTGAGAATGGGTCGCCACAAAGTTTATCGTTGACAAAAAAAATAGCAAGTACGTAAGTTTTTCCCGGTAGCTAAGATCGAATCATTTGAAATTCCAGGTGATGAGGACGACGACGACGACGACGAACCCACCGCATCCGTTTCTCCGGTGGCAGCAGCCCAACCTGTAGTTCAGCAGCTTCCGGCTGCCGTGGAAGCGGATTTGAACGCGGCCGCCGCGGAAGCGGAACAAGCCGCCGCTGCGGATGCAAACGAGCCGACAGCGGTCGATTCGGACCCGACCGGCGCTGACGAGGACGAAGGTAATACGGTGCCGGAGGTTTCCGGCCAGGCGGTTTCCGGCATCCACGAAACGCCGCTCGACGGTGCCGAGTCTGTCGCGAATCCCGTCCACGTGCCCGCCGTCTCGACCAATGCGGCCGACAGCGAGGACGACGACGACGACGACGACGAGGACGACGTCGATCTCGTCTACACCGAGGACGACGACGACGACGACGACGACGATGACGAGGATGACGACGACGACGAGGATGACGACGATGTCGACAGCATCGCCGACATTGCTGGCGCCAGACACGCACGTGAGTTCAAGGGAAAGAGCAAGAAACACGGCTCGGGGCGCAAGCACACGCGCAAGTCGCGGGCACACGCGCAAACGCGCGCCGACTCGCCCGCCCCCAAAGCCGTTTAACCGGTGCAGCTAGGGACGAGTGGCAAGTCGCGAGCTACGATTCCTGACTCGATGCTCAATTCGTGGTCTCCTTGTGTTCCCGTTTCCGGTTCCGTTTCCTTTCACGGGTTTCGATTGGCGCCGTATAGCGCCGGTAGTGCACGCCGAAGCGTCCGCAATTGGGACCGAAAGCGACGCGTATCTCGCGAATTCGTCTAAACCAGACGCGTTCAACATTACTCCACTGCCTCAATCAGTCGAGGAACGAAGCGATAATTTCCACTGCTCGGTCAGATTCGCGGAAAAAGGAAAACCATCTTTTCTTTGAACTTTTTTATCTGGGATATTACTGTTTATCGGACATTTTTTTACTATTACAACGTAAGCGGGTGCATAGAGTTGCGGTTTAAATAGCGAGGGAACGGACTAGTACATGGCGGAGACCTTAAACCGTACGTACTTGTAAACACGGCTTCGGATCATTTTCTTTTGGCAAAGATAAAATCATCTATGTGATGTCAGACACGGGCAAGATATATCAGCAATTTTGGGAGAGTGACATGCCGATGTTCCAAGCCGATCCTAGCTCGTGTATTTTTTATTTACGCATTTTTATACACATGCCGCGTCTAGTAGTATAATATGGTTTAAGTTCGAACCCCGCTCTGAAGTCTCACTTCCTAGAGTTCGCGGAAATCGAAGCGGACGTTTAAGTGAGCAGAAAAGTGGACGCTTAAGTTTGCACTACCGTATGTCTCGAAACTCCCATTGCATCCGAAAAGGACTAATTCCTCATACGATTTGGAGTAACTTCGTCCTTAACGAAAAACTTCTCCGCAACTTCGTTAAGGAGTTATCAACGATAAACGCGGACCAATCAGGGAGCGAGTACAACCGGCGCGCAGCTACCGCGGTCAATGTCGCGTCGAGCTGGCTATTATGACGTAACACGCCAGCTTTACTCGCTCTCCGATTGGTCTGTATTTTTCGTTGATAACTCGGTATCAAAGCCGCGGAGAACGTTTTTGCTAAGGAGAAAGATTCTTCGAATTATCTCTTCGCGATGAATCGAGGATTCTAGGACATCCTGTACACGCACCTAGTCGTTATCACGGAGTCGGGTCTTTTGGTCAGCCAGAGTTTTCGGAAGATCGGGTCGATCGGGTCGTTTTGTCCAGCGGGATCGGTAAGGGCGGTTTAAGTTGCAGGTCGACAACGTTTCACTGACATCGAGCTTTTACGACAGTTTGTAGTTTCAAAAACAGTGTTCCTGCTCGGAAACACGATTTTCGAAATCTAAGTTAGCGGAAATGTGCCGAGGTCTTTGTTCAAATGATACTGTGACTCGCAAAAGTGTATCAGTTTTTTAAATACATAATATTCGGCACCGTGTCTTTGCTCTGCTTAACACTTTGACGGCCGGAATCACGTATACGTGACTTCGCGAAAATTTGTATTATAAAAATCGATTAAAAAAAAACGTAGCTTTTCGAAGAATGCATCATAATTATACTATTAACCAAATTTGTCCTGTTTACATTATTAATAGGGTATATCATAATTGTATAATTAAAAAAGTGTATTATGATTACACTATTAATACTTTGACAAATAATGTTGATATTGATTGATAACCTTGACATATGGATAACAGAATTATTTAAAATTTAATTTTCTAAAATTAATTTCCTCGCTAATCCATTATAATTTCTTAATTTTATTAAGGTATTAGAATGTTGGAAAAGTAATGTATATCGCATTTTGCTGTGCCATTTTTATATATTTTACCGAATAAAATACTTTAACTTTATGAAACTTCCGAGACGTTTGCCGTAGCCGTCAAAGTGTTAAAACAGGACGCATTGTTTCAGATTTAGTGAAACGATTAGTTATTTGAAAATATGGTAACATTGTTACTTATGAGACAAGAAAGGAAACGTTGCTTAAAAAAAAAGAGAGTCAAAGGAGTCAACGAATCAAAATTAATCATCTGTATTATTGCAGTAAACTATAAAAATATAGTACAACAGTAAAAATGATTTTATTTTTCAAGTTAATAGATATTTATTATATCTGTTTTGAAGTTGATTCCACACTAAGCACGATTCTGTAAACGCAATGGCAGAGATAAAGAATCCAATTAAAACATTCAATATTTGAAGCTGTCAGTTCGAAAAACGATTTTTTTCCTTTCATTATTTTCAAATCAAGTGTTACCGTTAAGATACGTTAACTAACTAATTAACGGTTGTCAATTGTGTTGCACAAACAAATCGGTTAAGGATTGCTAGCAAACGTCTAATCGCCAGCAGACCGAGGAAAACGAGAAATCGTATGGAATTAGAAGTTCGCATAACAATGAAACTCGGCGGTTGTTACACGCTTGCTAACTACGATTGAATCAGCAGATGCCAAAGGCTCGGTCGCAAGTAGACCATGAACAAAGACCTGAAACCAATCCTTCGGAACGTGTAAAAGCTAATTGAACGAACAAGAATAACCTCCACGGAATTAGAAACTCGATCTGCGATCCGGTTTATCTTCGTCCCTCGAAAATGAAGATCTCGCGCGGGGAACGAAAATTCCGTTCGAACGATGACGATCGCTCTGGGCGGCCATTGGCACTTGCACACTCGTTCGAGAATCCCAACACTTCCGGCAGCATTTAGTTTCGGCGCTGTTCGACCGGTTTTATCCCCATTCCAGTACCACGATCACGTAAAAAGATCCTAGTTGAAACGAATTGTTCAGAACGCGAACATCGGAGGAAATCTTGATTGTTCAAGATTAGGGATCTACCGACAGAGATTTCCTGCTTCTTTGATAGACGGCCGTGCTTTCAGCTTGAAGATGCCTGGCAGTAGTCAGAGACGGACTAATTTTTATTTAAATAATTACTTGCTGAACCCTCATGCCAAATAACTCTTTCTCTGTACATCCGATTGTTCGTTCTGTCCACGAGTGGTTGTCCATCCGAAAGACTCTCCGAGTTCCTTGGAAAGTAGGCACGAAATTTGCCGATACATTGGTGCAACTGATAAATGAATTCTCTGAAACGTATACTTCAAGCCTACTCGGTATTTTCAGAATTGATTCACGAATGAAATTTATTTCCGAATTCTAAACGTGACACGAATGTATAAACTGTACGTACATCGTTGTCAACAAAGAAACTTGATGCGAAACATATTTTTCTTTTTTCGACGGAAGTTGACAAACACGTGGCAGACGGTAGAATGGAACCGAATGTGAATGCACTGACGCGGAAAATTATTTAAATAAAAATTAACGGTGAAAACCTAACCTGGACCGTCTCTGGTAGTTGTAGAAGTGATGGTAGCAGTAGCGGTAGAGCAGTAGAATTAGTATTTATTCTATTTATTAACGTCGATACCTCTACTTGAAGTCATTCGCGCGTCGAACAGCATGGTGAATTGATAACGCTCGGCCTCCTTGTGGCTTCCATTCCGCGTTCCTCTCCCGACCGGGCTTGCACGACTTCCAATTACGTCTCCTTGACGGCAACGCCGCGCGGCGCCGCGCCGCCGAACGCGCCAGGGAGATTGTACATAGCCGAAGTACTTGAAACTCGTGTAAGCGCTGTCGAATTAGCGAGCGGTCGCAGGAATGCGACGGAACGACTCGTTCCAAGTACCTTTTCACCCCGCCGTTTTCCTTCGAATTTCTGCCAGCGATTCTGTTTTGGCCGACGATGAAACATTTTACGCGAACAAGGTTATGTACAGTTCTCTCTTCTGCTGGCTCCGGGAAAACTGAAGTTAACCTCTTGCTTTGCAACATCGGGTGAGATTCGCAACGAAGATTTCGAACATGATCTGTCAATGTGTCAATGTTAGAGCCCTTTCTGTTAGATTGAAATTAAATTCGGTTCTTTCGTTATCAATATTTCAGCCGTTTATTTTGAAAGTGGCATAAGTCACTTTGTTTTTAAGTCGATATATTCAAGGGCTGTCTCTTATACACATCTAGATGTGTATAAGAGACAGCCCTTGAATATATCGACCTGTCTCTTATACACATCTAGATGTGTATAAGAGACAGCCCTTGAATATATCGACCTGTCTCTTATACACATCTAGATGTGTATAAGAGACAGCCCTTGAATATATCGACCTGTCTCTTATACACATCTAGATGTGTATAAGAGACAGCCCTTGAATATATCGACCTGTCTCTTATACACATCTAGATGTGTATAAGAGACAGCCCTTGAATATATCGACCTGTCTCTTATACACATCTAGATGTGTATAAGAGACAGCCCTTGAATATATCGACCTGTCTCTTATACACATCTAGATGTGTATAAGAGACAGCCCTTGAATATATCGACCTGTCTCTTATACACATCTAGATGTGTATAAGAGACAGCCCTTGAATATATCGACCTGTCTCTTATACACATCTAGATGTGTATAAGAGACAGCCCTTGAATATATCGACCTGTCTCTTATACACATCTAGATGTGTATAAGAGACAGCCCTTGAATATATCGACCTGTCTCTTATACACATCTAGATGTGTATAAGAGACAGCCCTTGAATATATCGACCTGTCTCTTATACACATCTAGATGTGTATAAGAGACAGCCCTTGAATATATCGACTTAAAAACAAAGTGACTTATGCCACTTTCAAAATAAACGGCTCGTTTGTGCATCGAAGAAACTATGGACATACGGTAAATTTGATTATTATTCATCTTTTATGAATGTACTAAAGACAAGTATGTTATAAGCATTGCAGTCACAAAGAACATCGCGCGTGTGGCAAGAGGTCGAACGGTGAAATTACAAATTCGTTAAAATCGCTTTTTTTTATCTTTCATTCATTTCTTCATTCTATTCGATGTTAATGTCATTTATTTATTTTGTTCGTTCGAAAAAAAAGCGGCTGGTGTCGATGCAGTTTTTGAAATTATGCCGCACGTTCAAGTAAAATGAAACTTTGGTTCTCCTGTGTACCTAACTTTGAGATGAATAAGACGCTACATTGGCCAACGACAGATTTTCTTACAAATTGCTACGCGCAATGGTCACAATAAGAACACTTACGAGGTTCCAGGCGAGTAAAAGGTACTTCGACGATGTGAAATATTATGAATGGCTTGGTGACCTCACGTCACGTGTTTTTCTTTTTCCTTCTCGATCCGTTTATCGACTGATCATCGAATGAACGAGGAGTACAAAGAGGTTCCGTGTGTTTGTACGTAAGAATGAGAGAAAGAGAGCCATATATTCAAAAAATGTTATTGACCTACGAGGCAAACGACACCGTTTATGACCGCTGTATTACTCTTCGCTCTGCTAGAAATTGTACTCGATTTTTCGCACGGTGTTTCCCTCGAATGTAATGAATTATTATATTACGTTCCACTGAAAATTTTGCTATTTTTCCGTGACATCTATAGGCTGGAACGAACGGTTTTATTCAAAGTTACATAGCCTTCGTTGCGAGTGGCCAACGATGGCGTCATTTGCCTCACGGAGTTTTAATGTTTCTGTCTGGAAAGAAGCTTGTATAGAGACATTGTCCATTCTGGATTGCAAAATACAGATAACTTATTGTTTTTACAAAAAATAATTGTGTCTTGCCTTTTATTTCTCTCACCATTGCCCGTGTTGCACCGATTTTTCCGTGTGTTCGTCGAGGTACTCGCCGCGTCGAGTGATCCAAAGCATAAGTTTCTCTTTCCTTTTCCTCGAAAAATCGAAGAACCAAACAAACAAATGCATTCGATCAATTTTCCGCATCGAGTACCGTTCATTCGGTAAAATTCGAAAATCGTTAAATCTCTGGAGACTTTCTTTGTTTTAAATGCGTGATGTGTTGTGTCACTTAGCTGTTCAGAACCCCCTTCGCAGCAAAACTTTTATTTATTATTATTTCTATTCAAACAACCGATTTTTACGAGCAAGTAGTCGTTTCTTGAATTTCTGACTTCGAACAATAAATAGATTCTCCTAATTTTGTATAGTTTTAATGACCTATGGATTATAAAATAGCTAAAAACGAATTGTTAAAATTATACATAGGATTCCTGAGATGATTTGAAGTCACTTTTTCCTTTGCGAAAATGTGGCTTTCGGTTTCATTAACGAGTTGTTAATAAAAAGCGACGAACCAGTCAGAGAGCGAGGAGAGCTGACGCCCCGCCCATACGACCAATACCATGCGGGATTCGCTGTCGCGTTAAAATTCGTGTTTTTTTCGTTAATAACTGGTTAACCAAGCCACGGAGAATATTTTTGCAAAGGAAAAAGTCACTTAAAATTGCCTCAGGAATCGTCCCTTTTCAAGAGTTCTGGGACAGCTTGTGGAAACAGTATCGAATCAAAGAATTCCGTGAGAAGAATTTTCCAAATCAAATTGCTACAAAGGGATATTGTTATCAAATTTTGTCACTATTGTTTCGGTTATCTCGCATGCCTTGTCACTCGTTCGTAGAGAAAGTAGTGGAGCCCTAGCTTGCTATATTTCTTTGCCCTTCCTTTGGTAAGTAGCTGCACGTGTTTGGTGGTCGGTTTTACGACAATTGACGACGGACTCTATAGAACTGGACAGTAGCACGAAACTTTTCCTCCCACGGCAATTCACAAATTTGTTCGTGTTGATGCAAAAAAGAAGCTGAGATTTGAATAACATAGGTAGATAATTATAGATAAAGCTTAAATAAAGCTTTACTAGCTTAAAAATGACGAAACTGTTTGGAAGAAAGTTGTATAATTTTATTGTATACACCCACTGGATAAAAAAAAGTATTAGCATGCATTTTAAAAGGGGACAGCTTTTTCTACATTGGACCAAACGATTTAAATGGCAATGCTAGAAACCCTTTTTGCAATAATTGAAATTGGTTGGAATAGCAAAGTAAAACTATAAAATACGTCATATGTTTTGACCTAATTTTAACGTGTCAAAAAGACTGTTTATATACAGGATGTCCCAAAATTATGGTACAAGCGGGAAATGAAGGATTCCTGAAGCTATTTGAAGTAACTTTTTCTTTAACGAAAATGCAATCCGCGACTTTGTTTACGAGTTATTAACGAGAAACACTGACCAATGAGAGGCGAGCTCGGTTGGCGCGAGGCGGCCGAGCTAACGAGCGGACAAAGCCCACTTCCGATCACTGGCTCGGCCGCCTCGTGTCAACTGAACTCGCCTGTGATTGGTCACCGTTTTTCGTTAATAACTCGTAAACAAAGCCGCGGATTGCATTTGTCCTAAGGAATAAGTTACTTCAAATGGCCACAGGAACCCTTCATTCCTCGGAAATACCATAATTTTGGGACACCCTGTATATGTTGTACATATAATTACGAAGGATTCGTACGAACAAATTTGTGAACAACTGCACACACTCTTAACATTCCACAGCTTGTAGAAGTAGAAATGCTGTAGAAGTTGGGACAAATGTAATTAGTGGTTCAAGGTCACCAAATCTTCACAATTTCTCAAGAGAAATCTCGAAACTCGTTTGAATTTTTTGAACGAGGAAGTAAAAGACCATAGTATTAAGTACAGAACATACTCGTAAGTAATAATTCACGAGGTTAATACCAATGATTGGTTCAAATTAGAGAAAGTTATAAGTACCTTCGATTTTTTCAAATTTTATTGATTTTAAATTTTATGTATTTTCAAATTTTATATATTTACGTTAATTTCGTTTTTAATTTCAACAATTATTTATATATGAGTTTGAATGAAATTCATGATCGAAATTAGGATAGGTCATTGTTTTCACTGAAGAGCATTATGAAACTTTATATGATAGTAAAGTAAGTCATTCTCCTTGTACAAATGTTTTTCGTTTGTGCAGGGATGCAAAAATGTTGTTCCCATCTGTCTTATCTTAAGGTCAATGAGAAATGTCGAAAAAAGGTTATATTTCAGGGAATGCTTCTAAGAGTTTTATATTTGATGCAATTGTAGGTACGTATTATTTTGATAAATAATTGAAACATTTGTAAATAATAATTTAAGTTGTACTTTCCGTAACCATTTCAGAAATAACTTTGTGTCATTAATGACTTATCCTGCTTGCACACAAAATTTCATGACTACCTGATTTTCCGAGTTTGTTAATTTGTAGATCGAAATAACAATGAAGCTTTTCATAAAGCGTTATTTAAAAGAAGAAATAATTGTAATTTTTCACTGAACTTGACGAAGCCAAGGTGTTTCATTGAAAAAAATTGCTAATTCTAATATTAACTCTTGATATTTTAAATACGGTGTTCAGTTTCCAAGAAAATCATTTAATTAGACAGGTACGTCATAATTACGAACCGCATTTGCTTCGCAAACGTTTATGTTGATTCGTATATCGAGGCTGCAACTATTTTTCGATTACGTCAATCTTGAAACATTAACATTTAAAAAAAATATATTTTACCAATTTTATACGAATTGTAATACTAGTATTAGTCAATTTTTTCAGCAACCTTTTTATTGTTCAGAATAAAAAGGAACGTTTTCATTGATTTGCGTGTTTAAGAAGCTACAATAGAGGTAAAACGCTGTTAGACTGAAAACTGAAAGATTTTGTCACTCCATAAGTAATTTACTTTTCTCAATATTTTGAAT